CGCCCCATCGCTGGGCTGACCTCCCGGCAGCTTCTTAGCCACGAAGGGCTCTGCTTTCCTCGCCCCGCTGTTCTTCCCTGGGTGAACGATTGCTTGCTAAACAGGCGGCAGCACGGCTCCAGCGACCTGCGCTCTGCCTGCGGGTCCTCCGCCGCTTCCCTTCTCTCTGCTTCCCCGGGAAGTCGTACAAAGAAGTGGCTGGCAGAGATGCTTGTTTACCGTATTGGTTGGTGGTGTGTTGGGGTGCTCAGTGGAAGCTAAACTGCTTCAATCCAGCAATACAAAGAGAGCCTATATATAGCCAAAGACAAAAATGTGCCAAGGGTGGAACACCAGCAACAAAAAGATCTGTAGTTAAAAAAACGTTCGTTGCTTAAAGCCAAGGCAAATGCTTCTGTAAGTCTGTTCTTCACCAGAGCTAAGCTAGGTGAAAGTTAAAATTTTACGTTGTGTGAACGACCCATCTCCATTCTCCTGTGAGACCGGCAGGAGAGCAGGACTGGCCTTCACAGTCAGGCTGGTGTCCTGCTGCCATTCAGCATGGTCAAAGTTGGATCATGTGGAAGAAGGTGCGTGAAGGGCTGATGTGGACATGTAAGGAACAACTTTCCCCCAAACTTTCTTCCTAACCTCTTCGTGGAGGAGTGGGTCTTTGCCTTTTGAAGTGGTTTCATTAAAGAAAATGTTCAATGTCTGACAAGAAGATATTCAGCATCCCATGTACTGAGACAGTTATTTCCTCGCTCCTTTTCTTCTCTCCCCCATTTTTAGCTATAAATAGGGCCCTAGCTTTTAAAGTTTGGAGCTGTCCTGATTTTCGTTTGGTCCAGCCTCATTTTGAAGAGGAATATCTATTTTAATATCTGGTTCAGGTCCTAAGTACTATCTATATATCATAGAAACCATAAAGTGAAAATATTCCAGGAGTGTTGGGCCAAATCATGCAATCCTTAAACTGGCAAGACTTTTGTAAGACTGCATGCTTGGCCCCAGATAATCTTTTGAAGGACTTAACAGCATGGCACATAAAACTTGCTGTGAATAGGCTTTTCAATATTTCAAATGAACAAGTCTCTATTCTGATCTCAAATATGTGGATGAGCTTTGCCAAGTACCTTAAATTCATCTTCTGCACTTACAATAGGATGTGACAGTGCTTTTTTGTTCTTTTGACACACTAAGCAGCATGCACCCAAATATTTGAAATGAGGACAGCAGTTGAAGTCTACATTTATATTGATGAGAAAGATGCCAGACTTACTAACTTAGCTGTAGTATGGTATATTACACACTTAACATAAGATCTAACCTCAGTTAAAATTGCTTGGTAATATTTATCAGGTAATATGATACTTTGGTAAAAGCTTTACAGAAGAAGCCTTAGTAAGAAATCTGGAAGTATTTCATGTCCATATATAATGGGAATGTTTAAATTGTTTCAATGGATCAATTGTATCTGAGATACTACGTATACCAGATAAACACCATGTTACCACTTTTTATTACTTCAAAAAAAATCCATAATTACGAAGTATTTCCTCCCAGTATTTTTGATTTGTGCATATGTAGAGAATAATTTAAGATGCCCGGGTCTTAAAACAGGGTTATCAAAACAATAAGACTATGGTGTTTGTAGTAGTGAATAATATATAAGGTAATGATCAATAGTCCCTTCCAGGGAATACATTTCATCTTTACATTAGCTTGGCTATAAATTTTCCCTATTGGCTTCAACTTGTGCTGTGTTAGATTCATGTGATTCATGCCTGTTATTGATTAGTGCTCAACTATTTTGCGGGAGATGCCAAATTAATTGTTAAAAAAATCCATGAAAGTGCTTTTTTATTGGCCGCGTGAGGCTCAACACATACTATACAGTTATTTTATTATTTCATGTAAATATAGTTTCCAATAAGCTTTAAAAATAGTTACGTGGTGTGCTTAGACATGAAAATTTGCAAAATATATTGAAAATGCTACTCTTGTGTGTATTTTGTGGCTCAGAAAGTAGCATAACGCAGCAGCGTGCTTCTGAACGTTGCTGGATAACTCCTGTGAGATCATTACTGTCTTACATGAACACTCCCAAATAGGAAACAATTTCCATTTTTTTCCACAAGACTGCTAGGTTTATGCAAGGTTTGGCTGGTAGCATCCTCATTGAAGGAGGTAAGCAATTTGCAAGGAAGGCTGCCAAAAAAACCCCAAACCCTCAGAACCAGATGAGCTGATATTTGATACAGACACTTGCTGTACCATGCACGTTGATGCTGATCCCAGGAGCTCTGCAGAAGCAGTGCTTCTCTGCAAAATGTTCTTATCTCTAGTGCACAAATGTCTGTGTGAACTTGCTGTTGTGTGCACAGGAAGACTTAATCATTTATACACTATTACTTAGGTTTAGAATATTTTAATTTTCAAATTTGAGATGAGTAAAAAATAACACACCAGAGAGATGGTTAATACCTAGACAGAAATGTGTGAGACTCTGGACTATACTAAGGATTTTCATTTCTCAAGCCTCTGGAAGATCATACTGTGAGTAAATCTTTCCACATATTCCCGATTCATTGATGCCTGGAAGTAGATCTTTTGGTTCCATGTGTAACATTGTTTTCATCTCACAATTCTGATTCAAATGTATTTTTTCAGAATTTATTTTGGAAGACAAATTTCATAGGTTCTTTAATTCTGTTAATTTTGGAAATCTAAAAACTTTTTTTTTTTTCTTTGAATGTGTTATTTGTCCAAATCAGAATATGACTGAGCTTTAGAGTTGTGTTTAGAAATTATGAGAAAGATTGAGAGTAATCTTTCAATTTGGTATGTTAATGCTATCTGCAATGCATCAGTCTAACAGACACTCAAAGGACTTCACTGTTCAAGTATCGTACTTTAAGTTATATTCATTTGTTCTTCATCTTCCTCCAAACAACTCTGAAAATGGGAAAACACCTTTGAAAATAGCTGCTTGTTGCTCAGGGATCAGTCACATCTGAAAAAAAAATCTTTCAATGGAAACAACATGTACATCGTTTGTTTTTTCCTGCATTTTATAGGTATACTGGAATTTATCAGTATAGCGGTGGGCTTGGTCAGCATCCGAGGAGTCGACAGTGGACTCTACCTTGGAATGAATGAGAAAGGGGAACTGTACGGCTCGGTAAGTTCCTGCTTGTCTTGGGCAGTCATGATCCTCATGTTCTGTGGGAAAAATACTTGATAGCTCCTACAAGCCCCTGTTGCACTAGATGCTGTACAAGCACTGTTTCTGCTTTAAGTATCTTGCAGTCTAATTAGAAACAAGACGCTGTGGGTGGTATAATGAATACGGGAAAGGGAAAAGGTGACAAAATCAGGAATGAGTAATAATGCAGACAGACAACAATTTAGATACAAGCAATGGAGACTGGTGGCCAGAAGACTGGTCACTGAAGACTAAAGGATGTACTGTAAGATTTGTAAACGGGTCCTTTCAGTAGAGACCTAAAACAAGACAAAGTCCCTGCCTTTTGCGTGTAGGCAGAGAGCTTTCTAGGAATTGACAAAAGAAAGTAGAGGGGGCGGTAAGGGGTGGATGAGAAAATGAGAAATAGGAGTGGATAAAAATTATAAAAAGTATAGGAATGAGGGCAAGAGGCTTGGTGGTCTTGTCCTGAAAATTCAGCTGGTGCTCCCTGCGGGATGGCAGCAGGAGTGAGTAATGGGTGTGAGGGAGGAGTAAAACTTGGTATTTCGGATGTGGGTTAGACTGGCAAACCAGCCTACCTGCATATGTGTGTGTGTGTTTGTGTGTATGCAGCGTGACCCTTACCTGGGAATACTTTAGACATCTGACGTGTGCTGGGGTTCATACCCTGGGTAGATCATGGGCAGGGGTCATCTGAAATTGAGCAGGTAACTCCCCAAAGAGTAGAAGGCAACCTCTTCTAGCAGTAAAGTATCAACCTCCAAAATTGACAAGGACTAGAGAAGCAGTTGTATTTGAGGAAGAGGATGGCAGGTTCAAAGGGTAAGCAAATGTCTCAAGTGAAGGGAGGCTGCGTATTCACTGGGGTTCATTAGAAGCACGGAGGAGAAGGTGACAATGGTCGACTGATGGTGAAACGTTGCAAAGAGAGACACTCAAAAAGGAGTTAAAGTGATAGAGAGTGGCTTTGGGTGTAGCTGAAGATACCTGTGTCAAAGGGGAGTAATGGTAACTGGGAAAAGGGTGGGGAGGGAACTGAGTGGGACAACAGTGAGTGTGGGAGGAAACATGAAAAGATGGTGATGAGTGGGTAGGTGAAAACAGAAGGAGTAAAAGGGAAGTCCAGCTTCCATATACGTGATCCATGGAAGAGTGTGAGGAAGCGCGACCAGCAGGGTCCAGCAGAAGTGTTTTTATGGGGGTGTCCAGGTTCAGTGATTCCTTTCTAGTAACATTTTGTGTGAGAGAGGGAAGGTAGAGAGAGGAAGGGGACTGTCTTCTGCGCGAAGAGCAGGCTAGGGGAAGAAGCCAGAAGGTACAGATTGTGACAGTGTATGTGGGAGGCAGAAAAAGAGGTGGTAGAATGAGGGGCAAGGCTGGGATGGAGAATGTGTAGACATGGGAGAAGGGGAGATGTAGAGATGGTGAGAACCAGTGAGTGGGAAAGGCCAAAGAAAAGGGATTTAGCTTAAATGGCAATATGGAGGAGGAGGAGGAGGTTGGAAGGATGGAGAGGAAGAGAGAAAGGGAATGGATGCAATGACAGATGTAAACAAGTTGTCTGTGAGGAGTGAGTAAGCTGTCATAAGTCACAATCCTTGTGCAGCTGATGAATGGGATAAAGAACTGGCGAAGTCATGAGTGCTTTTATGGTTCAGTTAGGCAGCCAAAAGGCAGAACAACAACAGTAATATGAATCAGTAATGTTGATAATCATCAGTAAGAGTAATCGTTTAAACAGCTAAACATAGTGAATCAATTACTCTACACTTCAGATATTCAGAAAAAGAAAATGTGGTTATTGATAGAGCTTAAATGCATAGACCTGGGAAAGCAAATGTTACATCACTTTTCTGTGCAATTTATATTTTGTGTCTGCAATATGTTTGACTGTCAGAGTGAATTACTCAAAACATTCTTTGCTGAAGAAACATGCACAAGAAATTCTTTGTAAATTACTAAGCTCACTGCATTAATAAAATAGTTGTTCCATGAGCAGCAGTTCTAAAGGAGCCTGCTTTCCTAGGGGTTTGTGTCTCACAGCCTGGCATGGGTGTCCCTGACCTTCTGTCCCTGCAGTAACACAAATTCCCCAGCCTTTTGTGTTTCTTGCATGGAGAAAGAGACAGTGTTAGCTGTCCATGCTCACTGGATTGTCAGTTTGCAGGGACTACATTGCTCACCACTCCCAAATGGGACGTGCAAATGATTTCTCTTCTTTACCCTGCCTCTGATTAGTCGCAAAACTGATAGGAACTTAATTTTCTTGAAGACCTTTGCCTCCTGATTGAAACTGGTTGAAAAGCTAAGGAAGGACGGACAGGCAGGCAGATGGATGTACAATATAATTGGATAATCTCTTTTCCCTAAGAAATGACGCTAAAAATATGAAGCCATTCATAATGGAGAACTGGCAATCTATAGGGCCAGAATGCAAAGTTCAGGTTAAAATCTGATGGATGATATGGCTTATTGTCAGCCTCCAGAGATGGGACATACTAAAGAGTGATGGTAATTGAATTACATTACTTCCAATGAAATATAACCTCTAATGGCTACTCAGCGTGATGATGCTTTAAAGCCTTGTCAACACTAGCAATCCTAGTGCCTATATTTCAGCAACTGTCAGCTCTCGTAGAAACACTGAGATAAGCAGGCCTCAGAGCAGATTTTCGTGTAGAATTGGCTGGACATTTTTAAGTGACGGTGTTTTGGTTTTGGTCAAAAAAATGCAATTAATTGAAAATGAAGTTCTCTGATGGGAATAAATATTGCAGTTTGAACCAGAAGCAAGGCACAATCCAGCACAGAATTATCTTTCTGGTGAGAGAGAAGATCATTTTAACCAAAATTAGTTTCGAGACTGATATGTGATAGACTGAGGTTCAAGTATTTCACCTGAGTTAAGCGAAGCGGTCACTTGAGTTGAAGTGTTCTGTAGCACCAGCAAGCTGTCCTTGTGCTGCCTGTGCTGGGAGGTGGGTCCCTCTGTCTTGGTTTCTTCACTGAGGGTGATGAATAGCACTAGCTTTGTCATGGAGCAGGTACACTTACGAGGCTGTGAACGTGTTTTCTAAGGTGGGAAAACCGTTTCCCATGCACAACTGAATAGCAGCCTAAGAAATACCTGGTCCTGCTCTACGTCAACATTGTGGATCTAAGCAGGTGTGTTTCTGCAGGCATTCAGTACTGCAGCACTTGACACTGCCGGAATAGATGCCCCATGTCTATGACACTATCATATTTATATTCAAATTACTGCATGAAAAATATATTGGGTGTGAATCAAATCAGTGACCTAAAAGACTTCTATCCTTCTATATTTGTGTTTGAAACATTTGGCACAGGAAGATTTTTCCCAGCGTATTTGTGGTGCCACTGGAGATGGGACATATGGCAAAGCAGAGCAGCCAGGATGGGTGATCGCTGCCAATTTTTATGAAAGGCAACAGTAAAGGCAGTTTCAGTGTATCTCGATCCAGACATGTTCCTTTTGGCCTTCCCAAAGTGCTGCTTTCCTCCTAGATTAGCTGCCTGATAAACTCTTCCCAACTTGCCACTGTTACAGGAGGCAGTTCCTACTGCATCTTCTGGTTAAAAGAGCACAGTGACTTTCATGCTGCTCTCAGGCAGCAACATATAAAATAACAACGTATAACAATCCCCATCCCACAGATTTAGCCAGGGAAAGCTGAAGATATATGTACGTGGTACTGCAGAGAAGCCAGTGGTAGCTACATAGCGATGACTTGGAGGCTGGTTAGTGACAGCAGCTTTCCCTCCCATCTCTCTCTGTTCCTGCTCTCCCTTTACCTTGCCTTCCCCTTGCAGCCTGTAGCTATGACTCATCGTGTTTCACAACAGCTACTGTGCTTGTCACTGGAGAGGAGGAAAAATCCAAACTACAGATAGGACCGGAAGGGTGTTAAGACGAGACACGAAGATTTTTTTCCTTCCTGAGTGCCAAATGGCTCTTGCCAACACCTTGGGCAAGAGTGTTAGCAAATGTGTCTTAGCCGTGCTTCTCGGTGCCATGCCATGGAGTGAGGGAGGTCTTTCTGATCAGTCCCATGACCTTCATGGGCTGTCCCCACCCTCACACTGCCCTGCACTGCAGCCCTTGGGAATATCAACAGTTGGCACCCACATGGCAGGCCGTGATGTGCTCCCACACCACAGGGTGCCCATTGTTTGCACTGCAGGCTGTCCTCCAAGGTGGTCCTATGCTACCTCGAGCACAGTAGGACCATGGGACACCCTCGCCTCAGCTGCCCTCACTGTCCTGGGCTCTCCTGCAGTAGAGAGCTGTGCTACATCCCACTGCTGGCATCCCCGCCCCACAAATCTCCCATGGACACGGACCTGCCCCACTCCTCTTCTCAGACTAGATATAAAGAAGAAATTTTTTACGATGAGGGTGGTGAAGCACTGGAACAGGTTGCCCAGAGAGGTTGTAGATGCCCCATCCCTGGAAACGTTCAAGGTCAGGTTAGACTGGGCTCTGAGTGACCTGATCTAGTTGAAGATGTCCCTGCTCATTGCAGGGGGTTGGACTAGATGACCTTTAAAGTTTCCTTCCAACCCAAACCATTCTATGATTCTATGAAATGCTGGTGTCTCCATTGCTCCTTGTGTCCTTGGCAGGTAGCAAAAGGCAGCTCAGGTTGGATGCTTAGGAGGAAAATTGGGAGTTGGAAAATCTGGAGCAGCTACAAGGGGAGCTGTGCAGGGGGGAGGAGGAAGGCAGAGGTGGAGATGGTGGAGTTGTTGGGAAAGGGGGAGAGGGCTAAGAGTGCTTGGAAGGACATGGGAGGGGAGAGGCTTCATGTGGCCACAGAGCAGCTGGGACAGAGCCGAAAAGCCCAGATCTGGAGCCAGGGAGGGAGACTCCTCACCTCTGGGTTTCAGACTTACAGGGTGTGTGCAGCGAAGTGAGATTTAGGACTGCTTATAACAAGGTAATAAATTGCTGT